AGAGCCCCCCCCCCTTCGTGGTGATGCCCTGACGTCATCGCCCGGGACCCCCTGACGTCACACTGCTGGCCACGCCCCGGCGGGCACCGCCCGGAGTGACACGGCTGGGACCGGCCCGGCGGAGAGACCCGAACCCGCCCGAGGGGGCCCGAACCCGCCCGAGGGGACCCGAACCGCGAGGAGCCGAACCGCTCCGGAGACACCCGAACCGGCAGTGTCCCGAACAGCGAGGAGCCGAACCGCTCCGGAGACACCCGAACTTGGACTCGAAGAAGGACCCGAACCGCTCCGGAGGGATCCGAACCTGCCCGGGGGGCCCGAACGAGGACCCGAAGCTGTTCGGAGGGACCCGAACCCGCCTGAGGGAGCCCGAACCCGCCTGAGGGGAATCGGACCCGCCTGAGGGAATTCGGACCCGCTTGAGGGAAGCCGAACCCGTTTGAGGGAACTCGGACCCGCCTGAGGGAAGCCGAACCCGCCTGAGGGTACTCGGACCCGCCTGAGGGGACTCGGACCCGCCTGAGGGGATTCGGACCCGCTTGAGGGAATTCGGACCCGCCTGAGGGAATTCGGACCCGCCTGAGGGAAACCGGACCCGCTTGAGGGAGCCCAAACCAGCCTAAGGGGACTCGGACTCGCTTGAGGGAATTCGGACCCGCCTGAGGGAATTCGGACTCGCCTGAGGGAAACCGGACCCGCCTGAGGGGATTCGGACCCGCCTGAGGGAACCCGAACCGGGAGGAGCAAAACCCCTTTGTGCCCCGTGTCACCCACCCAGGGGCTGGGGGCGCACGTGGGTGCCCCTCCCCCCCCTTGGGGACACCCCAGGGACCCCCGAGAGCCCCCCCCCCTTCGTGGTGATGCCCTGACGTCATCGCCCGGGACCCCCTGACGTCACACTGCTGGCCACGCCCCGGCGGGCACCGCCCGGAGTGACACGGCTGGGACCGGCCCGGCGGAGAGACCCGAACCCGCCCGAGGGGGCCCGAGCCCGCCCGAGGGGACCCGAACCGCGAGGGGCCGAACCGCTCCGAGACACCCGAACCGGCAGTGTCCCGAACAGCGAGGAGCCGAACCGCTCCGGAGACACCCGAACTTGGACTCGAAGAAGGACCCGAACCGCTCCGGAGGGATCCGAACCTGCCCGGGGGGCCCGAACGAGGACCCGAAGCTGTTCGGAGGGACCCGAACCCGCCTGAGGGAGCCCGAACCCGCCTGAGGGGAATCGGACCCGCCTGAGGGAATTCGGACCCGCTTGAGGGAAGCCGAACCCGTTTGAGGGAACTCGGACCCGCCTGAGGGAAGCCGAACCCGCCTGAGGGTACTCGGACCCGCCTGAGGGGACTCGGACCCGCCTGAGGGGATTCGGACCCGCTTGAGGGAATTCGGACCCGCCTGAGGGAATTCGGACCCGCCTGAGGGAAACCGGACCCGCTTGAGGGAGCCCAAACCAGCCTAAGGGGACTCGGACTCGCTTGAGGGAATTCGGACCCGCCTGAGGGAATTCGGACTCGCCTGAGGGAAACCGGACCCGCCTGAGGGGATTCGGACCCGCCTGAGGGAACCCGAACCGGGAGGAGCAAAACCGCTTCGGAGAAACCGTCCCGAAACACCCGAGCCGGCAGCGTCCCGCGCTAAGGAACGCCAGCCCGCCCGGAGGGGAGCCGAACCGGGACCGTCCCGTCCGTAAGGAGCCGAACCGAGCCCCCCAGAACTCCTCCGGAACAACCCGAACCCACTCGGGTGAGTGCCGGGACCCAGCCCGGGCTCTCGGGGGGAAGGGGAGGTGGCACAAGGTGGGGGATCCTGGGGTGTCCCCTCCCCCGGCCCCTCGGGGGTCTCCCCCGGACCCTGGGGACCCTCGGGGGTCTCCCCCTGACCCTGGGGACCCCCCCCCATCACCCACAGGATGCAGCCAGCGCCCGGGGGGGGCGGGGCGGCCCCAGGATGAGGGGGGGGGAGGAAGGAAGGAGATTCTCCAAGGCCTTATATGGGCACAGCCCTGACCGCCCCCACCCCCTGCGTACCCGGGACCCCCAGACCCCCCGGGTGAACCCCAGCATTCCTGGGGTGCCCCCAGTGCAGGGAATCCCCTCCTAACCCCCAACTTCCTTCACTCCTTCCAGTCCCCCCAAAGCTCCTCGGCTATTTAAAAATATTTTTAAAAAATGTTTTAAATTACCGAAAATTATCCAAAAAATTTTAAAAATTACAAAAAAAACCCCCAAAAATTTAAAATTTCCCCCCGACCCCATTAACCCCAATATCCCTGGTGCCCCCCCAGCCTCAATTCCCCAACCCCTTCTCTCCACAGCCCCCGCGATGCCCCCTCCGTGCCGCCCCCCGTCCCCGCTGCGCTGCGTCCAGGCCCTCAGTGCCCTCCTGGCGCTGGCGCTGGCCGCGGCGCCCGGCTACTGGATCCCGGGCGAGGGCGACGGCTGCTTGTCCGCCTGGGCCTTGTCCTTCGTCTTCACCACCCTCCTCCTCCTCAACGACGCCTTCCGCCGCCCGCCGCCGCGCCGCGACCTCCCGCTGGCGCTGGCCACCGCCGCCGCCATGGCCTGTGCCACTGCCACCGTCCTGTGGCCGCTGGGCCACCTGCGGGGACACGAGGGTGGCCAAGGCCGCCCCCGCGCCCTCCGCGCTGCCGCCACGGCCGCCTCGGCCGTGGCCACGCTGGCCTACGCCGCCGAGGTGACCCGCGACCGGGCGCGGCCCGGCGAGGCCGCCCCGTACCTGGCCACCCCCTCGGGGCTGCTCAAGGTGGCCGAAGCCTTCCTCGCCCTGCTGCTCCTCGGGCTGTCGGCCGAGCTGGGCGCGGCGTCGGGGCCGGCGGCCGTGCGCTGGTGCCTGGGCATCTTCTGCGTGTCCTTCGTGCTGGGGGTGCTGCTGGTCGGCAGCTGCCTGCTGGGCTGGGGCTGGTGCGGCTGGATGCGGGACCCCGAGGGGCTGCGCTGGGGGCTGGGGGTCTACGCCGGGCTGGGGGTGGTGGCCTACGGGGCGGCCACGGTGCTGTGGGCGCTGTACAGCTTCTCGGACGACATGGGGGGCCAGTCCCGGAGACCCTACGGCTGCCACGCCACCTGCCCCTGGGACAGGAAGGTGCTGGTGGCCGTGCTCAGCGGCCTCAATCTGGTGGCCTTCGGTGTGGATTTGGGGCAGACGGGAAGGTTGGTGCTCTTGAGGGCCTGAGGGGGCACCCCAGGGTGAGTGGGGGGGGGATCCTGGGGGGAGGTGGAGCCTTAAGAGGGGTCTGGGGTCTCCCACAGGTTGGGATCAGGGCCTTCGTGGGGGTCTGGGTTGAGTCCTGAGGTTCTCAGGCTCCCAAAAGATCCTTCTGTGGGGGAGGTTTGGGGCCCTAAGAGGGACCTGGGGGGGTGTTGGGGTCCTGGTGGGTGTTTGGGGGTCACCCCAGGGTAGGATCCAGCTTCTAATGGGGGTCGGGGGTCCTCTCCTGGGGTGGGATCAGGCTCCTAATGGGGGTCCTGGACTCTCTATTGGACAGGATTGAGCCTCTAATGGGGGTCTGGGGTCACCCCGGGATAGGATCCAGCCTCTCTGGGGGTCTGGGGTCCTCTCCTGGGGTGGGATCAGGCTCCTAATGGGGGTCCTGGACCCTCTGTAGGGCAGGATTGAGCCCCTAATGGGGTCTGGGTCACCCCAGGGTGGGATCGGGGTGCTGTGGAGGTCTGGGGTCTCCCCTTGGGGTGAGATCCAGCCCCTGCTGGGAGTCCTGGATCCTTTCTGGGGCAGCATCGGGCCCTTTTCGGGGTCAGGGTCCCCTCTGGGGGGATAATGGAACCCTAATGGGGATCCTGGCTCCTCTGTGGGGTGGGATTCAGCCCTTGATGGTGGTCTGGGGTCCCGCCAGGGTGGGATCGGGTGCCTGAATGGGGTCTGGATCCTCCGTGGGGCAGGATCTGGTGCTTAGGGGGGTCTGGGATCAAGTGCCTGAGGGATCCTTCCTGCAGGGGTGGTGGGATCACAAGGGGGTCTTGGGGAGGGGGACACCGCCGAGGCCTTAAATTGGGGGGTGTTGTCATTAAAGGGACATTTCTGCTTCTTAATGAGCTGCTGAGTGTCTGTGAGGGGGCACGGGGAGGGCAAAAGGGAGGGAAAAGGGTGGGAAATGGGAAAAAACAATGGGCAACATGAAGGGGAAAAGGGTAAGAAAATTGGGGAAAGGGGAGCGATGGGGAAAAGAGCAGGAAACAGGGAAAAAACATGAGGGGGAAAGTGTGGGAAGTCTGAGGGGAAAAAGGGTGGGAACTGTGAGGAAAAAAGGCAGGAAGTGTGAGGAAAAAGAGCAGAAAATGTGAGGGGTAAAGGGCAGGAAACGTGAGGAGAAAAAAGGGCGGGAAATGTGAGGGGAGAAAAGGGCGGGAAACGTGAGGGGAAAAAGGGAAGAAAAAATGAGGAAAAAAGCCAGGAAATGTGAAGGGAAAAGACAGGAAATGTGAGAAGAAAAAGGGTCAGAGAATGTGAGGGCAGAAGTGAGAAATGTGAGGGGGAAAAGAGTGGGAAAAGTGTGAAGGGAAAAGGGAAACATGAGGGGAGAAAATGGCGGGAAACATGAGGGGAAAAGGGAGGGAAAAAACCGACGAAAAAAACCAAGAAATGTGAGGGGGAAAGGCAAGAAATGTGAGAGGAAAAAGGGCAGAAAATGTGAGGGGGAGAGTGAGAAATGTGAGGGGAAAAAAGGGCAGGAAACATGAGGGGAGAAAAGGGTGGGAAACGTGAGGAGAAAGGTGAGAAAAACATGAGGAAAAAAGCCAGAAAATATGAGGGGAAAGGGCAGGAAGTGCGAGAAGAAAAGGGCAGAAAATCTGAGGGGAAAGGTAGTGAGAAATGTGAGGGGAAAAGAGCAGGAAAGATAAGGGGAAAAGGGTGGGAAATGTGAGGGGTGAAAATGGCGGGAAACATGAGGGAAAAAGGGAGAGAAACATGAGGGGAAAAGGGAAGGGAAACATGAGGGGAAAACTGATAAATGTGAGGGGAGAAAAGGGCAGGGAAAATGAGGGGGAAAGGGTGGAAAATGTGAGGGGAAAAGGGAGGGAAAAAACCCAGGAAATGTGAGGGGAAAAGGCAAGAAGTGTGAGAGGAAAAAGCAGAAAATGTGAGGGGGAAAAGCAGTGAGAAATTGTGAGGGGGAAAAGAGCAGGAAAGATAAGGGGAAAAGGGTGGGAAACGTGAGGGAGAAAAAGGGCGGGAAACGTGAGGGAGAAAATGGCAGGAAACGTGAGGGAGAAAATGGGGGGAAACATGAGGGGATAAAGAGCAGAAAATGTGAGGGGAAAAGTGAGAAATGTGAGGGGGGAAAGTGTGGGAAATGTGGGGAGAAACATGAGGGTGGGAAACATGAGGGGAGAAAAAGACATGAAACATGAGGGGGGGAAAGGGAGGGAAAAAAGGGGAAAAAGGCCAGGAAATGTGAGGGGGAAAGGCAGGAAGTGTGAGAGGGAAAAGGGAGAAAAAAGGTAAAAAATGGGGGAAAAGGGAAAAAATGGGAAAAATGAAAAAAGGGGAAAAAAGGTGAAAAAATAGGGGAAAAGGTGAAAAAAGGGGAAAGAATGAAAAAAAGGGAGAAAAAAGGTGAAAAAACGGGGGAAAGGGGAACAAAAATGGAGGGAAATGGGGTGGGAAATGGGGAAATTGGGAAAAATGGGTGGAAAAGGGAAAATAATGGGCAAGAAAGGGGGGAAATGGGTGAGAAGAGCATAAAAAGGGACAAAAAAAGGGACTAAAAGGGACACCTCGGGTGTCATAACAGGCCAGGCTGAAATGGGGTGAGAAATGGGGAAATTGGGCAAAAATGGGGAAAGGGACAAAAAAGGGACCAAAGGGGCACTCAGGTGGCTCAGGGACATCGGGCTGAGGGGACAGAAAGGGACAGAAAGGGACAAAAAGGACAAAAAAGAGAGAAAAGGGGACAAAAAGGGACATAAAAGGGACAAAAAGGGGGAAATAGGGACAATAAAGGATGATAAAAGGGACAAAAGTGACACAAAAAGTGAGGGGAGAAGGGTGGGAAATGTGAGGGGGAAAAGGGAAATGTGAGGGGAAAAGGGAGGGAAATGTGAGGGGGAAAAGGGAAATGTGAGGGGAAAAGGGAGGGAAATGTGAGGGGGAAAAGGGAAATGTGAGGGGAAAAGGGAGGGAAATGTGAGGGGAAAAAGGAGGGAAATATGAGGGGAAAAAGGAGGGAAATGTGAGGGGAAAAGGGAGGGAAATGTGAGATCTTCTCCTCCACAATTCCCTCCCGTCACCACTGAAATCCCAGATTCCCCTTCCCAAATCTCCCCAGTTTCAAGTCTCAAACATCATACTCACACATCCCCCAAATCCCAGCCCCTCTCCAACCTTTTCTTCCCCCACCAGACCCCAAATCTCAGGCGTCCCCCGACCCCAAATCCCAGATTTTTTACTCACTGGACCAAGTGTAAGAACTTCTAATTTTATTGAGCAAAGCGAAAAGGGAGCGAGGAAGGTCTGCGGAGAGAGACCCAAAGTGGGAGTCGGTGGTGGCTGAAACGCCCCAACCCCGGGGTGTCCATGAGGGTCCAGGGGTGTCCAGAAGGTCCTGGTGGTTCCCCCAAGGTTCTCCTGGTGCCCGTGAGGTTCTGCTGAAGGTTCCTCTGGTCTGTGAAGGGTTCTAGAGGTGCCATTGGGGTTCTCGATGTGCTTGTGGGGTTCCAGAAGTGTCTGCAGGGATCTAGGTATGTCTATGGGGTTCTGAGGGTCTCTATGGGGTTTTAGACATTTCTACAGGGTTCTAGAGGTGTCTATGGGGTTCTAAGGGTATCCATGGCATTTCAGACATTCCTACAGGGTTCTAGGTGTGTCTACAGGGCTCTAGAGGTTTTTAAGGGATTCTGGCAATATCTTCAGGTTTCTCTGGCCATCCCTGCAGTTCCTAGGCTCTCCAGAAGCTTCCCCTGAAGGTCCCTCGCGTTCTCGATTCTCCTGGACGTGTCTTGCTCGGCACGGGGTCTCTCTCCTGGCTCCGCTGCCTGAATCCTCCCGTTCCTCCACCACCACCTTCATGACAGCGCTCCGGCCTCTGAACACGGTGGCCGTCACCGTGACGGGGCCGGCGCTCAGCTGGGCTTCATTCTGCCATTCCTTGATGATGACACAGGGGAACCCGAAGCTGTCGGAGAAGTCACGGGCGTTCCTGACCAGGCGGTCGTAGGTCGACTGGAGGTCCCTCGTATGAACCTTGTCCACGGACAGCTCCAGGCCCGTCTCCAAGGAAAATCTGTTGTAGTCGACGGGGTTGGAGAAGTAGATGGCCAAGGTGAAGGAGTCGGCCTCGTAGGCCAGGACCCCGTTGCAGCCCCACAACATGGTTCTGTTGATGAACTTGCAGCTGCTGGAGGAGCCCGGGGGCACCGAGGGCTGGGGGACGTTGACGCTGTGGCCGCTGAAGAAGTGGGTCCTGGAGAGAGGAATTGGGGGGTGGGAATGTGGGGAGATTGTCCCACCACCCCTGGGAGGAGCTGGGAGCTGGGAGATGATCCCCGAGCCTGGAGATGATCCCAGACACTGGAGATGATCCCAAACCCTGGAGATGATCCCAAACCCTGGAGATGATCCCAGAGCCTGGAGATGATCCCAGAGCCTGGAGATTATCCCAGACCCTGCAGATGATCCCAAACCCTGGAGATGATCCCAGAGCCTGGAGATGATCCCAGACCCTGCAGATGATCCCAAACCCTGGAGATGATCCCAGAGCCTGGAGATGATCCCAGACCCTGGAGATGATCCCAAACCCTGGAGATGATCCCAAACCCTGGAGATGATCCCAGAGCCTGGAGATGATCCCAGACACTGGAGATGATCCCAGACACTGGAGATGATCCCAAACCCTGCAGATGATCCCAAACCCTGGAGATGATCCCAGACCCTGGAGATGATCCCAAACCCTGGAGATGATCCCAAACCCTGGAGATGATCCCAGACACTGGAGATGATCCCAAACCCTGCAGATGATCCCAAACCCTGGAGATGATCCCAGACACTGGAGATGATCCCAGACACTGGAGATGATCCCAAACCCTGGAGATGATCCCAGACACTGGAGATGATCCCAAACCCTGGAGATGATCCCAAACCCTGGAGATGATCCCAAATCCAGGAGATGATCCCAGACACTGAAGATAATCCCAAACCCCTGAGATGATCCCAGCCCAGGAAGGGGATCCCAGCCCAAGATGGAGATCCCAGCCCAAGATGGAGATCCCAGCCCAGGAAGGAGATCCCAGCCCAAGATGGAGATGCCACCTGGAGCTGCCTCCCAGCAGCCCCAGGGCCCCCACAAGGTCCCCCCCAGCCTCACCTGGCGTTCTTCAGGGTGATGTTCTGGGTCTTGTTGTAGATCTGGATTTCCACTATGCGGCTGATGTTAAACCCCATCCTGGGTCAGGATCGCCTCACCTCCAGGATCTCCTCAGCTCCGGGCCCTCCTCAGCTCCGGGATCTCCTCAGCTCTGGGATCTCCTCAGCTCTGGGATCTCCTCAGCTCCGGGATCTCCTCAGCTCCAGGATCTCCTCAGCTCCAGGATCTCCTCAGCTCTGGGATCTCCTCAGCTCCGGGATCTCCTCAGCTCCGGGATCTCCTCACCTCCGGGATCTCCTCAGCTCCAGGATCTCCTCAGCTCCAGGATCCTCAGCTCCAGGATCTCCTCAGCTCCGGGATCTCCTCAGCTCCGGGATCTCCTCAGCTCCGGGATCTCCTCAGCTCCGGCTCTCCCTCATTCCAAACCCTTCTCCCCAAACTCCCGGCTCTCCTCCCGGTATTTATGAGCACTGCTGGTCCCACCCGGTTTTGATGTCAGAGTCCCTCACGTTCTCATTCCTGCAGACAAGATGATTTCCGAGAAATCACAATTCCATTCCACATGCGGTCCTCCCAACCCCATCCCCTTCCTTCCTCCCCAAGGAGTTTTGGCCCCGTTACAGAATTCCCTGGGAACGGACCCAAAACTTCCTGGGGTTTTGTGCGTGCCCAGTCCAAGGATAACCCTGGCTGGGCAGGGACACACCTGGGGCAGGAACCTGGGGGAGCCCCGGGGGCGGCTTTGGGGTCCCTGGGAGGGGTACGGGACTGCCTTTAACTGGTTTAACTGGTGTAACTGGTCTATTTCTCTGCCCCAACTCATGTAACAGGTGTAACTGGTTTAATTCTCCAGTATAACTGGTGTAACTGGTTTAATTCTCGAGCATAACTGCTTTAAGTAGTTTAATTCTCCAGCCTAACTGGTGTAACAGTTTTATTTCTCTACCAGAACCGGTTTAACTATTGTAACTGGTTTATTTCTCTACCAGAACCAGTTTAACTGGTGTAACCGGTTCATTTCTCTACCAAAACTGGTTTAACTGATGTAACTGGTTCATTTCTCTACCAGAACCGGTTTAACTGGTGTAACTGGTTTATTTCTCTATCAGAACCGGTTGAACTGGTGTAACTGGTTCATTTCTCTACCCAAACCAGTCTAAATGGTGTACCTGGTTTCTTTCTCTACCAGAACCGGTTTAACTGGTGTAACTGGTTTATTTCCCTACCAAAACTCTTTTAAGGTGTAAGTTTCCCTCATTCCCCAGACTCTTTTCCGGGCCCAGGGGTCTCCCCTCAATCCCAGATCTCCCCCTCCCAAATCCCCACCCCATCCCAGCCCCTCCCAATTCCAAGGTTCCCCCCCAAGATCACAAATCCCATTTTTTTTAAATTCCGTGGACCATTTGCAAAAATTTCCCATTTTATTAAACCAATAAAAAAGGGGATCGAGGGAGTTTGGGGCTGGGGGGACACAGGAGGGGAGGGCAGAGGGGTCTGGGACACCCCAACCCCGGGGTGTCCATTCTGCCCGGGAGGTCACGGTGGTTTCTCTGAGGTTCCTCTGGTGCCCGTGAGGTTCTGCTGAAGGATCTCCTGGAGCGTCTGCGGGGTTCTAGATGAAACTGCAAGGTTTTCTGGGTGTCTTCAGGCTTCTATATGCATCTATGATGTTCTAGAGGTGTCTGTGGTGTTCTAGAAGCGTCCCTGGGGTTCTAGAGGTGTCTAGGTGGTTCTAGGGGTCTCTATGGATTTCTAAACGTGCTTATGGGGTTCTAGAGCTGGCTAAAGGGTTCTAGATGTGCCTATGGGGTTCTAGCAGTGTTTACGGGGTTCTCGGGGTGCCAATGGTGTTCCGGTTGTGCCTACAGGGCTCTAAAGGTGCCTATAAGGTTCTAGAGGTGTCTATCACATTCTAAGGGTGTCCATAGGCTTATAGACATGCCTACCGGGTTCTAGAGGTGTCTATGAGGTTCTAAGGGTCTCTATGGGGTTTTAGACATTCTTACAGGGTTCTAGATGTGTCTACAGGGCTCTAGAGGTTTTTAAAACCCCAACCCCGGGGTGTCCATTCTGCCCTGGAGGTTCTGGAGCTTTCTCTGAGGTTCCTCCGGTGCCCGTGAGGTTCTGCTGAAGGATGTCCCGGAGCGTCTGCGGGGTTCTAGAGCTGCCTACAGGGTTCTAGATGTGCCTACGGGATTCTAGAGGTTTCTACCAGTGTTTATCTGTTTCTCCAGGTTTCTATATGCATCCATGAGGTTCTAGAGCTGTCTACAGGGTTCTAGAGGTGCTTATGGGGTTCTAGCAGTGACTATGGGGTTCTAGAGTGTCCTACAAGGTTTCATAGCTGTCTCCATGCTTCTGTATGCACCCACAGGTTTCTAGAAGTGTCCACGGGGTTCTGGTGATGCCTGCAGGATTCTCAGGCCTTTCACGCCCTTCCAGGGTTCTCCTTGACGTCCCAGTCGAAGTCCAGCAGGTTCTCGCTCCTCCTGGACCTGTTTCTCACGCCATCCTGGGGTGCCTCTTCCCCGCCTTCCTCCCCCGATCCCCTCTGCTCTGTCAGCACCACCTTGATGGTGGAGTTGGTGTTTCTGGACATGGTGGCCATCACCATGACGGGGCCGTGGCTCAGCTGGGCGGTCCCGTGGCTGCTGCCCACCACCACGCGGGTGAACTTGATGTCCAGGCAGGAGCTGGAGTAGGTTCCCTTGGCCATGCGGGCGTAGGTGGTGCCCAAACTGTCCAGGTGGGCCCTACCTGGGGACAGCTCCAGGCCCAGCTCCATGGAGAACTTTTTGTAGTCGATGGGGTTGGAGAAGTGGATGGCCAGGGTGAAGGAGTCGGCCTCGTAGACCAGGATCCCCGCCACGCCCCAGAACGGGAAGTCGCCTGGGAAGTGGCAGATGTCACTGGAGCCGGGGAACAACTCTGGCAGGGGGGGCTTGGAGCAGCGGCCACAGTCGAAGAAGGTCCTGGTGGGACAAAGGTGGTGGGATCAGTGGGAGATGCTGGTGGGACAAACGTGGTGGGATCAGTGGGAGATGCTGGGGGGACAAAGGTGGTGGGATCAGTGGGAGATGCTGGTGGGACCAGCAGGGCATGGAACGACCCCCGGCAGCTGATCCCACTCCTGGAAATTGATCCCTCCATGGGATGGAGATCCCACCCAGAGGTGACTCCAAGGGGTCCCCCCCAAAGCCCTCCCAGCCTCACCTGGGGTTCCTCAGGGTGATGTTCTGGGTGTTGTTGGAGATCTGGATCTCCACAGAGCGGCTCAGTAACGATCCCATCCTGGCTCGGGATGTCCGCAGCTCCGGGATCTCCTCAGCTCCAGTACCTCCTCAGCTCCAGGATCTCCCTCAGCCCCGGGATCTCCTCAGCTCCAGGATCTCCTCAGCTCCGGGATCTCCTCAGCTCCGGGATCTCCTCAGCTCCGGGATCTCCTCAGCTCCGGGATCTCCTCAGCTCCGGGATCTCCTCAGCTCTGGGATCTCCTCAGCTCCGGGATCTCCTCAGCTCCGGGATCTCCTCAGCTCCGGGATCTCCTCACCTCCAGGATCTCCTCAGCTCCGGGATCTCCTCAGCTCCGGGATCTCCTCAGCTCCGGGATCTCCTCAACTCCGGGATCTCCTCAGCTCTGGCTCTCCCTCATTCCAGACCCTTCTCCCCACTCCGGGCTCTCCTCCCGGTGTTTTCGGCACTGCCGTGGCTGCTCCCTGCCGTTCTCACCCCGTTTGGGTCTCGCACAGCTCCTCAGATTTTCATTCCTGAACTCTCCGTGATTTCCGAGAAATCCTTTACTTTTGTTCCTCTTGAAATCCTCCCTCCCCCGCCTCTTCCTCCTCCCCCGGGGAATTTTGGCAGCGTTTCAGAATTCCGTGTGAACGGAAACAAAACTCAGCCGGGTTTGTCGCCTCCCTAAAGTCGCCAGTCCCGGGATGGCCCCGGCTCGGCAGGGACACACCTGGGGCAGGAACCTGGGGGAGCCCCGGGGGGTTTGGGGTCCCTGGGAGGGGCACGGGACTGCCTTTAACTGGTTTAACTGGTGGAACCGGTTCATTTCTCCACCACAACTCAGATAACTGCTGTAACTGCTTTAATTCTCCAGTGAAACTGTTGTAACCGGTTTATTTCTCTACCAGAAGCTTTTTAATTGGTGTAACTGGTTTAATTCCCCAGTGTAACTGGTGTAACTGGTTTAATTCTCCATTGTAATTGCTGTAACTGGTTTATTTGTCTAACAGAACCGATTTAACTGGTGTAACTGGTTCAACTGGTTGAATTCTCCAGTGTAACTGGTGTAACTGGTTTAATTCTCGAGCATAACTGCTTTAAGTGGTTTAATTCTCCAGCCTAACTGGTGTTACAGTTTTATTTCTCTACCAGAACCAGTTTAACTGGTTCAACTGGTTTATTTCTCTACCAGAACCGGTTTAACTGGTTCAACTGGTTTATTTCTCTACCAGAACCGGTTTAACTGGTTCAACTGGTTTATTTCTCTACCAGAACCGGTTTAACTGGTGTAACTGGTTTATTTCCCTACCAAAACTCTTTTAAGGTGTAAGTTTCCCTCATTCCCCAGACCCCAGACTCTTTTCCGGGCCCAGGGGTCTCCCCTCAATCCCAGATCTCCCCCTCCCAAATCCCCACCCCAGCCCCTCCCAATTCCAAGGCTCCTCCCTCATCCCAAATCCCATTTTTTAAAAAAATTCAGTGGATCAAGTGCAAAAATCTCCCATTTTATTGAGCAAAGCAAGAAGGGAGCGAGGCAGGTCTGGGTGGGGCACCCCAAACCCCGGGGTGTCCATGAGGGTCCAGGGGTGTCCAGAACGTTCTGGAAGTTTCCCCGAGGTTCTCCTGGTGCCCGCGAGGTTCTGCTGAAGGTTCCTCAGGTCTGTGCGGGGTTCTCGATGTGCCTACGGGGTTCTGGACGTTCCGGAAGGTTCTATGGGGTTCTGGAGGCGCTGAATGGGTTCAGAGGAACCGTTTGGGGTTCTGGCAGGTTCTGTGGGGTTCCGGAAGGTTCTATGGGGTTCTGGAGGCTCTAAATGGGTTCAGAGGAACCATTTGGGGTTCTAGAGGTGCCTGTGGGGTTATGGCAGTACCTATGGGGTTCTAGAGATGCTTATGGAGCTCTGGAGGTGCCTGCAGGGTTGTGTCAGTTCCGATGAGGTTCTAGATGTGTATAATGGGGTTCTAGATGTGTCTTTGTGGGCTCTAGAGGTGTCTGTGGGGTTCTGGAGATGTCTATGGGGTCCTAGAGGTCTCTGTGGGATTCCAGAGGTGTCTATGTGGTTCTAGATGTCTCTATGGGGTCCTAGAGGTTTCTATGGGGTTCTAGAAGTCTCTGTGGGGTCCTAGAGGGGTCTATGGGGTTCTGGAGGCGCTAAATGGTTTAGGAGGAACCATTTGGGGTTCTAGAGGAACCATTTGGGGTTCTAGAGGTGCCTGTGGGGTTCCAGAAGGTTCTATGGGGTTCTAGAGGCTCTAAATGGGTTCAGAGGAACCGTTTGGGGTTCTGGCAGGTTCTGTGGGGTTCCGGAAGGTTCTATGGGGTTCTGGAGGCGCTAAATGGTTTCAGAGGGTCCATTTGGGGTCCTGGAGGTGTCTATGGACTTCTAGAGGACTTTGTGGGGTCCTAGAGGTTTCTATGGGGTTCTAGAAGTCTCTGTGGGGTCCTAGAGGTGTCTATGGGGTTCTAGAGGTGACTATGGGGTTCTAGAAGTCTCTGTGGGGTCCTAGAGGTCTCTGTGGGGTTCTAGATGTCTCTGTGGGGTTCTAGAGGGGTCTATAGGGTCCCAGAGGACCCCACGGGGGCGTTCCCAGCGCTACCAAAACATCCCCCTCACGTCCCGCTCCTCCAGCTCCACCTCGAGCAGGGGGATCGAGTCGCGGGACGCGGCGGCCGTCACCTTGTAGTGGCCGGCGCCCAGCCGGACACACACCTCGCTGCGGCCGGAAAAGTCGGCCCAGGACACGGCGGTCTTCTCGTGGTCGAAGGGATCCTGCTGCAGGGTCATGCGGGCAAAGGTTTCCCTGAAATCGAGGTGAGCCTTGTCCAGGGACAGCTCCAGCTGCAGCATTTTTGGGGCGGAGCTCGGCTTCTTGCGGAGGAGGAAGAAGATGGCCAAGGTGAAGGAGTCGGCCTCGTAGACCACGAGCCAGCCGAGGCCCAGGGCCCGCCCAAAACCCGCCCTAAACCCGCCCTACACCCGGCTAAACCCGCCCTAAACCCGCACCAAACCCGCTCAAGGATTAGGGCGGGTTTAGGGCGGGTTTTGGGGTCTGGGAGGGTGAAAAATTGGGAATTTTGGCAAAAATTGGGAATTTTGCCAAAATTCCCAACTTTTCACCCTCCCAGACCCCAAAATTATCAAATTTTGCCAAAATTCCCAATTTTTCACCCTCCCAGACCCCAAAATTATCAAATTTTGCCAAAATTCCCAATTTTTCACCCTCCCAGACCCCAGAATTTCCAATTTTTGATCGTCCCAAGCCCCAAATTCCCAATTTTTGTCCCACCCAAACCCCAATATTCCCAATTTTTGACCCTCCCAAATTTCCTAATTTTTGACCCTCCCAGACCCCAAAATTCTTCATTTTTTACTCTCCCATACCTCAAAATTCCCATTTTTTGTCCTTCCAGACACCAAAATTCTGAATTTTTATCCCTCCCAAACCCCAAATTCCCAATTTTTGCTCCTTCCAAACACCAAAATTCCCAATTTTTGCCAAAATTCCCAAATTTTGACCCTCCAAACCCCAAAATTTCCAATTTTTAACCGTCCCAAACCCCAAATTCCCAATTTTTGCCAAAATTCCCAATTTTTGACCCTCCAAACCCCAAATTCCCAATTTTTGCCCCTTCCAAGACCCCAAAATTCCCAATTTTTGTCCTTCCAAACCCCAAAATTCCCAATTTTAGCCAAAATTCCCAATTTTTGCCCCTTCCAAGACCTCAAAATTCCCAATTTTTGCCAAAATTCCCACTTTTTAACCCCCCAAAACCCCAAAATTCCAATTTTTGACCGCGTGGATGAAGTGCAAAAATTCTTTTATTCAACAAAGCCAAAATAAAAACCCAAAAGGGGAGGGGCCCAAAATTTGGGCTTTTTTGGGGGGTCTCCCCAAATTTTGGGGACTCCCCCCATGGGAATCCTGATTTGGGGGGGTCCCTTTGTGGTTTTGGGGTGATTTTGGGGGATTTTGGGGAGTTTTGAGGGATATTTTTGGGGTATTTTTGAATTTTGGGGTTTTTTGGGGGGGTTTTCACCCCAAATTTTGGGGTCCTTGAATTTTTGAGGGGTTTTGTTTGGGGTTTCCACCCCAAATTTTTGGGTTTTCACCCCAAATTTTGGGGTCCTCACCCCGAATTTGGGGTCCCCCCTAGATGAGGTCCATCAGGATGTCCTCCTCCATCTCCTGGGGGTCTGCAGGCCCTGATTTGGGGTGGTTTGGGGTTTTTTGGGCTTTTTTGTGGGGATTTTTGGGATATTTTTGTATTTTTTAGGGTTTTTTGGGGTTTCCACCCCAAATTTTTGGGTTTTCACCCCAAATTTTGGGGTCCTCACCCCGAATTTGGGGTCCCCCCTAGATGAGGTCCATCAGGATGTCCTCCTCCATCTCCTGGGGGTCTGCAGACCCTGATTTGGGGTGGTTTTGGGGTGGTTTGGGGTTTTTTGTGGGGATTTTTGGGATATTTTTGTATTTTTTAGGGTTTTTTGGGGTTTTCACCCCAAATTTTGGGGTCCTCAACCCGAATTTTGGGTCCCCTCTAGATGAGGTCCATCAGGATGTTCTCCTCCATCTCCTGAGGGTCTGCAGACCCTGATTTGGGGGGTTCCCGTTGTGTTTTTGGGGTGATTTTGGGGGTTTTTGGGATATTTTTGTATTTTTGGGGTTTTTTTTGGGGTTTCCACCCCAAATGTTGGGGTCCTCACCCCGAATTTGGGGGTCCCCCCTAGATGAGGTCCATCAGGATGTCCTCCTCCATCTCGCTGGGGGTCTGCACGGGCTGGAGCCCCCCCGGGGGGACGGGGCCCCGCGGGCCGGGGGGCAGCAGCATCTGCCCTGGGGGGGCACAGGGGGGTCAGGGGGGACCCCAAAACCCCCGGGGGGGGTCAGGGGGGACCCCAAAACCCCCGGGGGGGTCAGCAGGGGGATTTGGGGTTCCCAGGTTTGGGTTTTGGGGTTCCCACGGGATTTGGGGTGTCAGGAGTTGGTTTTGGGGTTCCCAGGGGATTTGGGGTCCCAGGTTTGGGTTTTGGGGTTCCCAGGGGATTTGGGGTGTCAGGAGTTGGTTTTGGGGGTCCCTGGTGTGGTTTTGGGGTTCCTGGGGTGGTTTTGGGGGTCCTGGGGTGGTTTTTTTTTGGGTTCCCAGTGGGGTTTTGGGGTTTCTGGGGAGGTTTTGGGGTTCCCAGGAGTGGTTTTGGGGGTTCCCAGTGTGGTTTTGGGGTCCCAGGTTTGGGTTTTGGGGATCCCAGGGGTGGTTTTGGGGTTCCCAGTGGGATTTTGGGTGTCCCAGGGGTGGTTTTGGGGGTCCCAGGAGTGGTTTTGGGGTCTCAGGAGTGGTTTTATGGGTCCCAGGGTGATTTTGGGGTTCCCGGGGTGGTTTTGGGGGTCCCAGGGGTGATTTTGGCATCCAAGCAGTGGTTTTTGGGGTTCCCAGGGATTTTGGGGGTTCCTGGGGTGGTTTTTGGGGTGCCAGGTTTGGGTTTTGGGGTCCCCAGGGGATCTGGGGTCTCAGGAGTGGGTTTTGGGGTCCCAGGAGTGATTTTGGAGGTCCCGGGGTGGTTTTCGGGTCCCAGGGGTGGTTTTTGGGGATCTCAGCAAAAATTTGGGGTTTCTGGGGGGGTTTTTGGGGTCCCAGGGGTGGTTTTGGGGTTCCAGGTTTGGGTTTTGGGGTTCCCAGGGAATTTGGGGTGTGAGGAATGGGTTTTGGGGGGCCCAGGGGTGGTTTTTGGGGTCTCAGGAGTGGTTTTGGGGGTTTCTGGGGTGGTTTTTGGGGTTCCCAGGGGATTTGGGGTCCCAGGTTTGGGTTTTGGGGGTCCCAGGGGATTTGGGGTGTCAGGAATGGGTTTTGGGGGTCCCAGGAGTTGTTTTGGGGGTTTCTGGGGTGATTTTTTGGGGTTCCCAGCAAAATTTTGGGGTTTCTGGGGAGGTTTTGGGGGTCGCAGGGGTGGTTTTTGGGGGTCCCATGAGTGATTTTGAGGGTCCCAGGGGTGCTTTTGGGGTTCCCAGGGATTTTGGGGATTTCTGGGGTAGTTTTTTGGGGTTCCCAGGGGTTTTGGGGGTCCCAGGGGTAGTTTTGGGGTTTCTGGGGTGATTTTGTGGTTTCTGGGGTGTTTTTTTGGGGTCCCAGGTTTGGGTTTTGGGGTTCCCAGGATGGTTTTTTTTCTGTTTTCCCACTGAATTTTTGGGGATTCCTAGTGGATTTCTGGGGGATTTTTTTGGGGATTCCCAGTGGATTTTTGGGCTATTTTTTTTTGGGTTTTCCCACTGAATTTTCAGGGATTCCCAGTGGATTTTTGGGCTGGTTTTTTTTGGGTTTTCCCAGACGATTTTTGGGCTGTTTTTTTGGGTTTTCCCAATGAATTTTTGGGGTTTTTTTGGAGGGTTTCCCAGACGATTTTTGGGTTGTTTTTTTGTGTTTCCCAATGAATTTTTGGGGTTTTTTTTTGTTTTCCCAGACGATTTTTGGGCTGTTTTTTTGGGGTTTCCCAATGAATGTTTTGAGGTGGGTTTTGGGGGGCCCTGGAGCTGTTTTTGGGGTTCCTGGGGTTGTTTTTGGGGTCCCAGGAGTGGTTTTGGGGTTCCAGGTTTGGGTTTTGGGGTTCCCAGGGGATTTGGGGTCCCAGGTTTGGGTTTTGGGGGTCCCAGGGGATTTGGGGTGTCAGGAATGGGTTTTGGGGTTCCTGGGGTGGTTTTGGGGGTCCCAGGATTGGGTTTTGGGGTTCCCCGGGGATTTGGGGTCTCAGGAGTGGTTTTGGGGGTCCCAGGAGTGGTTTTGGGGTTCCCAGGGTGGTTTTTTTTTGGGTTTCCCACTGAATTTTTGGGCTGGTTTTTTTTTTTGGGTTCCCAGTGGATTTTTGGGCTGTTTTTTGGTTTTCCCCCTGAATTTTTGGGGTTTCCCGGGGGTTTTTTGGGCTGTTTTTTGGTTTTCCCCCTGAATTTTTGGGGTTTCCCGGGGGTTTTTTGGGCTGTTTTTTGGTTTTCCCCCTGAATTTTTGGGGTTTCCCGGGGGTTTTTTGGGCTGTTTTTTGGTTTTCCCCCTGAATTTTTGGGGTTTCCCGGGGGTTTTTTGGGCTGTTTTTTTTTGTTTTCCCAGACGATTTTTGGGCTGTTTTTTTGGGGTTTCCCAATGAATTTTTGGGTTTTTTTGGGGGCGTTTCCCAGCGTATTTTTGGGCTGTTTTTTTGGGTTTTCCCAATGAATTTTTGGGGTTTTTTTGGGGCTGTTTTTGGGGTTTTTCACTCACCTGGCATGGGCGCCCGTGGCCCCCCCAGCTGCCCCGGCCAGGGCTGCCCCGGGGGGGGGTGCAGGAGGTTTGGGTTTTGGGGTTCCCCGGGGATTTGGGGTCTCAGGAGTGGTTTTGGGGGTCCCAGGAGTGGTTTTGGGGTTCCCAGGGTGGTTTTTTTTTGGGTTTCCCACTGAATTTTTGGGCTGGTTTTTTTTTTTGGGTTCCCAGTGGATTTTTGGGCTGTTTTTTGGTTTTCCCACTGATTTTTTGGGGGTTTTTTTTGGGTTTCCCAGTGTATTTTTGGGCTGTTTTTTTGGGTTCCCAGTGGATTTTTGGGCTTTTTTTTTTTTTTTTTTTTGGCAGACCATTCGCAAACATCCAGAAGCGGGAATGTTGGAAAATCACCCCAAAATGAGACCCACAAAATGTTCTAGGACCTCAAAATGTCTAAAAAATCCCAAAATTCATCAAGGCGCCTCTCTAAGATATCAAAAAAACCCCCTCAAACCCAGCCAGAAATCCCCCAAAATTCATGCAGGATCCCTTGAATCACCCCAAAATTCCTCCAAGCCAACGCCCCAACCCATCCAGGAGCACCCAAAATCATCCAGAGTCCCCCACAAAATCCCCAAAATTCATGCAGGATCCCTTGAATCCCCCCAAAATTCCTCCAAGCCCACCCCTCGATCCATCCAGGAGCCCCCAAACTCATCCAGAGTCCCCCACAAAATCCCCAAAATTCATGCAGGATCCCTTGAATCCCCCCAAAATTCCTCCAAGCCCACCCCTCGATCCATCCAGGAGCCCCCAAACTCATCCAGAGTCCCCCACAAAATCCCCAAAATTCATGCAGGATCCCTTGAATCCCCCCAAAATTCCTCCAAGCCCACCCCTCGATCCATCCAGGAGCCCCCAAACTCATCCAGAGTCCCCCACAAAATCCCCAAAATTCATGCAGGATCCCTTGAATCCCCCCAAAATTCCTCCAAGCCCACCCCTCGATCCATCCAGGAGCCCCCAAAATCATCCAGGACGCCCCAAATCCAACCAGGGTCCCCCAAAACCCCTCCCAGACCCCCAAAAATTCATGCAGGACCCTTCAAATCACCCCAAAATTCATCCGACTTTGCCCCTTGATCCATCCAGGAGCCCCCAAAATCATCCAGGACCTCCTGAATCACCCCAAGATTCCTCCAATCCCACCCCCCAACCCATCCAGGAGCCCTCAAGCCCCTCTAGGACCCCCAAAAATGTCCCAAAACCCCCAAAAATCTCCCAGACCAGGCTCTGCTGCCGCTGCTGCTCCTCCATGATCCCGACCTGCGCCAGGCCTGGGCTCACCTGGGTGAGGGGTACAAAGCTTAAATCCATCTCAAATTCCACAAAAACCACCCCAAAATTCCATAAAAACCATCTCAAGTGGAAATATGAGGAGGAAAAGGGAGGGAAAGGTGAGGGGGAAAAGGATGAGAAATGTGAGGGAAATGGGAGGGGAAAAAGAGGGGAAATGTGAGGGGAAAATGGCAGAAATTTGAGGGGAAAACAGGTGAAACATGGGGGGAAATGGTGGTAAAATGTGAGGGGAAAAGGGTGGGAAACATGAGGTGAAAAAGGATGGGAAATGTGAGGGAGAAAGAGAGGGAAACATGAGGGGAAAAAGGAAAATGTGAGGAGGGAAAAGGGCGGAAAACGTGAGGGGAAAAAGAACGGGAAACGTGAGGGGAAAAAGAGCGGGAAACGTGAGGGGAAAAAAGGGTGGTAAATGTGAGGAGAAAAAGCTGAAAAAAAGGAAAAAAGCTGAAAAAAGAGCAGGAGAAGGAGCTGAAAACATAGAGGAGAAGGAAGGCAGGAAACAGGTAGGGACAAAAAGGAAACATGAGGGGAATAAAAGTGGGAAATGTGAGGGGAGAAAGGGTGGGAAACGTGAGGGGAAAAGGGAAATGTGAGGGGGGGAAAGGATGGGAAATGTAAAGGGAAAAAGGGTGGGAAACAGGTAGGGAAAAAGGAAATGTGAGGGGAGAAAAAGATGAGAAACATGAGGGGGCAGGGGCACAAAATGTGAGGGGAAAGAGGCAGGAAACGTGAGGGGAAAAAGGAAATTGTGAGGGGAGAAAAGGGCGGGAAACGTGAGGGGGAAAAGAGCGGGAAACGTGAGGGGGAAAAAGGGGTGGTAAATGTGAGGAGAAAAAAGGAAAAAAAGCTGAAAAAAGAGCAGGAGAAGGAGCTGAAAACATAGAGGAGAAGGAAGGCAGAAAACAGGTAGGGACAAAAAGGAGACATGAGGGGAATAAGAGCGGAAAATGTGAGGGGAGAAAGGGTGGGAAACGTGAGGGGAAAAGGGAAATGTGAGGGGGGAAAAAGGCGTGAAAGGTGAGGGGGAAAAGATGGGAAATTTAAAGGGGGGAAAAGGTGGGAAACAGGTAGAGAAAAAGGAAATGTGAGGGGAGAAAAGGGCAAGAAACATGAGGGGAGAAAATGGCAGGAAATGTGAGGGGAAAGAGGTGGGAAACGTGAGGGGAAAAAGGGGGAAAACGTGAGGGGAGAAAAGGGCAGGAAATGTGAGGGGAAAAAAAGAACAGAAAACATAAGAAAAAAAGGACAGGAAACAAGGCTGAAAACATAAGAGGAGAAAGAAGAGAAGAAACAGGTAGAGACAAAAAGGTGGGAGACATGAAAAACCCAACCCAAGTTTTTCCCACAGAAACAACCTCAAATCTCACAAAAATCACCCTAAATCTCACAAAAAACACTCCAAATCCCACAAAAACCACCTCAAATCCCACAGAAACCACCCCAAATCCCACAAAAACCACCCCAAATCCCACAAAAACCACCCCAAATCCCACAAAAACCACCTCAAATCCCACAAAAACCACCCCAAATTCCACAAAAAACACCCCAAATCCCACAAAAACCACCCCAAATCCCACAAAAACCACCCCAAATCCCACAAAAACCCCCCCAAATCCCCCCTTACCTGTGGCTGCACCCCCGAGGTCACGGGGAGGGTCCCCGGCTGCTTGGGCAGGAATGGGGGAGCCCCAGGAACAGGGGCTGAGCCCCCCAGCTGTGGGGACAGGAAAATTTGGGGTGTTTTGGGGACAGCAGAGAGACCCCAAAAAGAGTGGGGGGCAGAAATGACCCCCAAGAAAGGGATGGGGGTGTTGAAGGGGGAGAAAAACCCAATAAAATGGGGCAGCAAAGACACTCCCAAAATGGGGTTTGGGAGGCACTTGGGGGAATCAAGGCATAAAGGGTTAAAAGGGGGGAAAGAAGGAGGAAAAAAATGGGATTTTGTGGGGTTAAAATGGGGTTAAAAGGGGAAAAATGAGGTTAAGGGGGTCCCAGGAGGCCCAGGTCCTCCTGGTAGGGCCTCTTCCTTGATCTGAGGGGAAAATGGGATTAAAAATGGGGAAAATAGATAAAAATGGGTAAAAATAGGTAAAATAAGGGGATTTGGTTGTATTAAAATGGGGTTTAATGAGAAAAATTTGGGTTAAAGGTGGGAAAAATGGAGTTTAGGAGTCCTAGCTGGCCCAGGCCAAAGCCCAGGTCCTCCTGGTAGGGCCTCTTCCTTGATCTGAGGGGAAAATGGGATTAAAAATGGGGAAAATAGATAAAAATGGGTAAAAATAGGCAAAATAATGGGATTTAGCAGTGTTAAAATGGGGTTTAATGAGAAAAATGTGGGTTAAAGGTGGGAAAAATGGGGTTTAGGAGTCCCAGGCTAAAGCCCAGGTTCTTCTGGTAGGGCCTCTTCATTGATTTGAGGGGAAAATGGGATTAAAAATGGGAAAAAGAGGGAAAATGGGATTAAAAATGAGAAAAACGGGACAAAATGGGATTAAAAATTGGTAAAGGAATGGGATTTGGGGGGTTAAAATGGAATTAAGGAGGAAAAAATGGGGTTTAGGGCTCCCAGGTGGCCCAGGCCGAAGCCCAGCTCCTCCTGGTTGGTGTCCTCCTCAATCTGAAGAGAAAATGGGGTTAAAAATGGGAAAAATGAGAGAAAAATGAGATTTTGGGGAGGTTAAAGGAGAAAGAATGGGGTTTGGGGGGGTTAAAATGGGGTTAAAGAGGGAAAAATCCACCAAAAATGGGGTTTAGGGCTCCCAGGTGGCCCAGGCCGAAGCCCAGCTCCTCCTGGTAGGTGTCCTCCTCAATCTGAAGAGAAATTTGGGTTAAAAATGGGAAAAAGTGAGAAAAATGAGAGAAAAAGGAGAGAAAAATGAGAAAAAAATGAGATTTTGGGGGGGTAAAAGGAGAAAGAAGGGGGTTGGGGGGGTTAAAATGGGGTTAAAGAGGGAAGATTCCACCAAAAATGGGGTTTAGGGCTCCCAGGGGGCCCAGGCCGAAGCCCAGCTCCTCCTGGTAGGTGTCCTCCTCAATCTGAAGAGAAATTTGGGTTAAAAATGGGAAAAAGTGAGAAAAATGAGAGAAAAAAGAGAGAAAAATGAGAGAAAAATGAGATTTTGGGGAGGTTAAAGGAGAAAGAATGGGGTTTGGGGGGGTTAAAATGGGGTTAAAGAGGGAAAAATCCACCAAAAAAGGATCTGAAAGGAATGGGTGAGCTCTGTAGGATTTTGGGGGTGTTTTTGGGGTATTTTGGGGCGTTTTTGGGGCCTCACCCCTCGCTGCTGGTCCATCTTGTGCTGCTGCACCTGCTTGTGGTTGGTGATGACCTGGCGGATGCCGTTGACGAAGCCGCTCTGGTCGTTGGGGATCAAACCCATGAAAATTTTCTTTTTGGACGAGTAGAGCAGCATCAAAACCCGCACCTCACACGGGGCCGTGTGTGGGAAGTGCACGCAGCCAGCCTGGATCGGGGAATGGCAACAAAATGTCATAAAATGTCATAAAATGGCGTCAAAATGTCACAAAATGGCGTCAAAATGTCACAAAATGGCGTCAAAATGTCATAAAATGGCGTCAAAATGGCCCCAAAATGTCATAAAATGGTGGAAAAATGCCATAAAATGGCGCCAAAATGGCCCCAAAATGCCATAAAAGGGTGGAAAAATGACTTAAAGTGGCACCAAAATGGCCCCAAAATGTCATAAAATGGTGGAAAAATGACATAAAATGGGACCAAAATGCCATTAAATTCCAGGTGATTTTGGGTTTTTTCCAGGAGTTTTGGGGTCCCCCGGGAGTTTTGGGATCCTGAGAGCGATTTTTGGGTTTTTCCAGGTGATTTTTGGGTTTTTCCAGGTGGTTTTGGGGTCCCCAGGGAGTTTGGGATCGGGTCCCCAGGGAGTTTTGGGATCCTGAGAGCGATTTTTGGGTTTTTCCAGGTGATTTTTGGGTTTTTCCAGGTGGTTTTGGGGTCCCCAGGGAGTTTGAGATCCTGAGGGTGATTTTTGGGTTTTTCCAGGTGCTTTTGGGGTTTTTCAGGGTGATTTTTGGGTTTTTCCCGGTGATTTTTGAGTTTTTCCAGGAGTTTTGGGGTCCCCAGGGGGTTTTGGGATCCTGAGAGCGATTTTTGGGTTTTTCCAGGTGATTTTTGGGGTTTTTCCAGGTGATTTTGGGGTTTTTCCACGTGCTTTTGGGGTTTTTCAGGGTGCTTTTGGGGTTTTTCCACGTCCTTTTGGGGTTTTTCAGGGTGATTTTTGG